ATGCATTGACGGAAGGAGAGTCTCTTCAATAAATAGTACTGGGAAAACTGGATAACCATATGCAGAAGAATGACTGTAGACTACTACCTCTCACCATATACAAAAATCATCTCAAAATGAATGAAAGCTTAAATCTAAGACCTGCAACTTTGAAACTACTAAAAGAAAATATTGGGAAAATGCTCCAGAACATTGGTCAGGGCAAAGATTTCTTGAGTAAGATCTTAAAAGTACAGACAATCAAAGCAAAAATAGACAAATGGGATCACATCGAAAAGCTTCTGTACAGCAAAGAAAACAATCAACAGAGTAAATAAGTAACCTACAAAATCGAGGGAAATATTTGCAAACCTCCCATCTGACAAGGGATTAATAAGCAAATATGAGTCAGGTGTGGTGGCTCATGCTTATAATCCCAACACTTTGGGAGGTTGAGACAAGAGGATCATTTGAGACCCGAAGTTCGAGATCAGCAACAAAGCTAGACCTCATCTCTACAAAAAATAGAATTAGCCAGGTGTGGTGGTGCATTCCTGTAGTGCTAGCTACTCAGGAGGCTGAGACAGGAGGATCACTTGAGCCCAGGAGTTTGAGGCTGAGGTGAGTCATGATCATGCCACTAGTCTCCCAGCCTGGGTGACAGAGTGAAATCCTGTCAAAAAAAAAAAAAAAAAAAGAAAGAAAGAAAGAAAAAAAGAAAAGCAGAATATATAAGAAACTCAAACAATTTGATAGGGAAAAAAAATGAGCAAAAGCTCTAAATATACATTTCTCAGAAGAAAACATAAAATGGCCACAGATGTATAACAAAATCCTCAACATCACAAGTCATCAGGGAATTGCAAATTAAAACCAAAATAAGATATTATCTCACTCCAGTCACTATGGCTATTATCAAAGACAGAAAATAACAAACGCTGGTGAGGGTGTGGAGAAAAGGAAGACTGGTTAAGAATGTGAATTAATACAGTCACTACAGAAGACAGTACAGGGTTAGGGTTAGGTTTAGTGCTAGGGTTAGGGTAAGGGTAAGGGTTAGGGCTGGGGCTAGGGCTAGGGTTAGGGTTAGGGCTAGGGTTAGCAGATCTAGGGTTAATAGTAGGGCTAGGACTAGGTCTAGGTTTAATACTAGGGCTAGGGCTAAGGCTACGGTTAGGTTTAGGGTTAGTGTTTTATCTAGGTCTAGGTTTAGCATTGGGGGTTAGTGTTATATCTAGTTCCAGGTTTAGCATTAGGGTGTAGAAATTTCTTGAAAAACCATGAATAGAACTTTCATATCATCCGGCAATTCCACTACTGGGTTTTTATTCAAAGAAGGGAATTCAGTATATTTCAATGTAATCAACATTTGAAGAATTATCTGCACTCTCATGCTTATTGCAGCTTTATTCATAATAGCCAAGATATTGAATCCACTTAAGCATCTATCAATTGCTAAATGGATTAAGAAAATTTGTACACAATGGAATATTACTCAGGAATTTAAAAAGGAAATCCCAATACTTGTAACAAAATAATTAGAAGAGTGGAATTGGCATGCTTTTTTTTTTTTTTTTTGAGTTGGAGTCTCACTCTGTCACCCAGACTGGAGTGCAGTGGCCGCTCCCGGCCACCGTGGCCTCGACCTGCTGGGCTCCGGTGATCCTTCCACCTCAGCCTTCCAAGTAGCCGGAATTACAGGCATGCGCTACCACGCCCGGCTGATTTTTTTTTTAATTTATTGTAGAGATGAGGTCTTGCTGCCCAGGCAGGTCTCGAACCCGCGGGCTCAGGCAATCCACTCACCTCAGCCTCCCAAAGGCGCGGGATTACAGGCTGAGCCACCGAACCTGGCTTGGCATGTTTTTAACACAAATAAATAATAAATGCTTGAGGTGATGGATATCCCATTTTCCCTGATTTGATCGTTGCACATTGTATGCTTGTATCATGTTTTCACATGTACCCCATAAATTCAAATATGTACCCATAAAATAAAGACAGTAAAATTAAATAAAATGAGGCTAGTACTCCTTACCTTAGAGGTGAATTGGACAATTAAATAATGACGACACCAAACACTTCTATAAAGACCGGATAGTAATAATAGTAAATGCTTTCTGTAGCACAAGGTTTTGTCAGACAATGTTCTAGGAGCTTCAGCATACATTAAGTCCCACTCTAGAACTTGCCTCAGAATCAACTGAAAGACTCGTGAAAGCTCAGTTGACTGGGCCCCATCCCTACTTCCTGATTTAGGCAGTATGGAGTGGGGCTGGGGAATCTGCATTGTTCACAAAGTACCCATGGGATGCCATGATACTGGCCAGCAGCCACACTTTGAGAACCAACATATTAGGTCACTGCCTCCTCATATAACCCCATAAGGGGCGCTAGTCTTCCTCCTATTGATGAGTAAACCGAGACACACAGAGTGGTGGCAGAGCACCTGTGTGAGCCTGGGAGGGCTGGCCGCGGAGTTCGCAGCAAACAACCCAGACAAACCAAGGGAAACCCAAATCAAGAGAAAGGAGTGATCCTTCCAAACAATGAGACCCCCTCTCCTTCCTATCAAGATGTCGGCAGTGTAATGATAGAAATAAAGGGTAGAAATTGGAACGTGGGGAAGCAAAATATGCTGGTGTTTCCATTGTCCTAAAAGCAGGCTAATTTAGATTATCTTCTGATATTCATGTAAAAAAAATAATAATAAAGATCGTAAGGTCCACAACAGAAACGCAATGGCTGAGGGAAAGTGAGGAAAGAAAACAAGCTGATACAGAGCACTCTGTGTGTGTGTGTGTGTGTGTGTGTGTGTGTGTGTGTGTGTGTGTGTGTATGTGTGTGTTTGGGAGGGGAGAAGGGTTTTACAAATATTTTAACACCGACTGCAAAACCACACTGACGCCACTATAAAAGTTGAGTCACTCACTGTATTAAACAATAAAAGGCAGTGGTGGCAGCAGTCCTGACAATCTGTGAGGCATGTGTGACAGCAGCCTTCCACTGGGGAGGAGTCTGATGGACACACATTGAACAGCCTGCAGGGACCGGGTAGATACCCCAAGGGACGGCACGGGCCAGGAATTGGATAGCAGGAAGGGCATGGTCAGCAGAGACGTGCTGGTCACGTCCCAGGGCTGCTACCACTCAACTCCTGCTCATTGCTGCTGTCCAAAACAGGGGTAAGTTGAAAAATCTGGATTTCCACCTGGAATCTTCATGTTTTTAACAAATTAGAACATTTCGAGAATACTGTTTGTAAAACAAAACTTATCTGTGGGCTATCCTGAGCTTACAGGTCCCCGCATTTGCAATTTCTGGACTAATGTTTCTACTGCCTGAGCTTTAAACAAATGAAAGGAGAAAGTAAGCTCCGTGGTCCCAGAGCTGAAAGCAATCACATAACACTGAAGGGAACAATCATGATTGGTTATGTTCATAGCCTCTGAACAGGGTCCAGGAGACGTTTCCCTGCTTCAAATCGAATGCTCTTACCAACCAGTAAGCAAAATGCAGAACTGGTCATTAGGCCTATTTTAAAGTCAGAACACTAAGGCTCTGAGGTGTTCAATTACTTGTTCAATCGCCAGCTACCACATGGAAAATCCTAGAACTGGGACCTGTTCTGAATCCAAACTCCATGGAAAATTCTAGAACTTCTGAATCCAAACTCCTTGCTCTTCCTGCCCCTGAATTTACACTCACCATGTGCAGTGCAATTCATACTCAATACACACTCAAGAAGGACGTGACCTCCTCGATACACGCATATCTTGCTTGCTTTCTTTCAATTAGACTGTACTTGTCAAGGTCATCAGTGACCTTCACCTTGTCAGACCCAGCAAACACTTATAAATCCTCAACTTTCCATATAGTTGGCTACCAGCTCTGCTTCCATTCTATGACTAGTCAGTTTCTACCTTACTGGCTCTCTTTCCCAGTCATGAATACCTCCAACTTGAGGCATTTAGGTGTGTTTAAATCACAACTGCAACTCTGACTGCTACATTAAGCCTATACAGAAATGTATACCCAAATGTCTGCTTAAATCTCTCCTTGATTATCTAAGATATAAGCACCTCAGACTAAATACTTCTAAACAGAATTACTAATACTATCATATCATTGTCTTTCTTGCTCAGCTCTCAGAACAGTGTTTGGCCCAAAGACGAATCTCACGGAATAGCCATTGAGCAAAAGAATAAGTGGAGAAAACACTGTATTAAAAAGATTATTTTTAAAAAAAATCATGTAATGTATTTTTAAAAACTTTGCACAATTATGTTTAACACTAGGTTATGCATAGACACTGAAGTGGTAGGAACACAGCTCACACCTGTAATCCCAGTACTTTGGAAGGCTAAGGTGAGAGGATCGCCAGGAGTCCGAGACCAGTCTGAGCAACATAGCAAGACCTCATCTCTACAAAAAAAATAAAAAATTAGCGGGGCGTGCCTATAGTCCCAGCTACTCAGGAGGCTGAGGCGGGGGCACCTGAGCCCAGGATCAAGGCTGCAGTGCGGGTGATCATACCACCGCACTCCAGCCTGGATGACAGAGACTCCCCCAACTCAAAAAAATAAAGTTTAAAAAATGGTTTTAAAAAAACCCTTCAAAATATTAACATTGATTGCGCATGCATTTAAAATATTTTTATTTAAAACTCCTTTTCTATTTCTCAGTTGAATTTGGAGAGCAGTGCTAAGAATATCAGAATTTGGAGTCTGAGTGAAGACTGCCATTTACCAGTGGAGTCAGAGGGGCTTTGACACCTTTCTATTTATTGAACGTCCCCAAAGAGATTTACTGTGAAATTATGGGTGAAAACGGCTCTGCAAGGTGCAGGGTACACAGTGAGGGACAGTAATGTCATTCGATGATTATGACAGTCATGTTTTCTTGTATAACTAAAACACACACCCCCCCTGCTAGCCTCGACAGAGAGAAACCGTAGCCCCATACCTAGAGAAGGCACGCATGCTCCGTCCGCTCTTCCGCCCACGTGACCCGCCAGGCTCCGCCTCCTCCCCAACATGGCTGCGCCCAGGGCCTGCGGCCGCACGTGAGCAAGTCCGGGCACCTGGGAATCAGGGAGTACGATTTTGTGAGCCACGTTCCTCTCTCTTCTGCCGATTGCGACCCTTTGATCCCCCCCGGGGCCCTCGCGGGCCGCTGCCCCTCGGCAGCCATGAAGACAAAGCCCGTTTCCCACAAGACCGAAAACACCTACCGGGTGAGCGCGGGAGCTTGGGGCCGGACTCCGGGCCTGAGACAGGCTCCGCGGGGCGCAGGGGCGCAGGGCTCGCGCGGGCGCGTGTCGTGAACGTGGGATGCCGAAGGAAAGACGTCTGGGCAGCAGGTTTTGTCTGTGTTACGGGGTCTGGGCCCAGCAGGGAATTCCTTTCAGTCCGGAATTAAATTCTCTACCCTAGGAGATTGATTAGGGCGGGTTCTCTCGGCTTTTTCATGTTTAGAGACCGCACTAGGGGGATGGGCTGGCGGGAGTATTTCCAGCTAATGGCCATCAGGGCGCTTTCAGGGTTTGCCCCTGGATAGTTTGTTACCACTTCTTCGTTACGGTACAACCAGGGGTATGTTTATGTTTAAATACACTTGTGTTGAAGTCGACTTAGCTACATCCCTGTGCTTGTGGGTGGATATGAAAACTAACAGATCTAGCGAGACCGATCGCCAGCGTTCACCCAGAGTCACCAGTCTGGCGTGGAATTTTTGTTTGAAACGACCTAGCTGAAATAAGTTATGCATACATATTATTATAAGTATTCGTTGTCTTTGAATGGTAGCACAGTACATTTGTTCACGGCCATATGTTTTTCAGTTTGTTTTTACGGTTATCCTTTGTGATTCATCATATCCTATTATGGGTAGGAAACATTTTATCATGCCTAAAATTACAAGCAAGGCATTATTTGTAATGTAGCACCTCGGAGGTTTATTGGCGCTTTAAACTTTCTACTTTCACAAGAAAATTGCCCGCGTGTAATTATTATACGGCATTCAGTAGATATTCGAGAGCTGATGAGTATCAAATGATGATGTATCCTAAATATGATCTCCCTTCCAGTTTCTTACATTTGCTGAACGACTGGGGAATGTGAATATCGATATTATTCACCGGATCGATAGAATTGCAAGCTATGATGAGGTAAGAGAATGTGACATTGGCTCATCTTCAAGTATTCATAGTCTGTGTTTTTCTCTGCTTAGTAGAAGCAGATTGTTTTTCAAGCTATTCCTTTATGAATGTGAAATGCATTAGACTTGTGCTGTCTCATACAGGAGCCGCACATGGCAAATTAATTTTAAAGTAAATTAAAAATTAAAGTACTCAAAAGCCATATGTGACCAGTCGCTACCATATTGGACAAATGCAGATATAGAACATTTCCATCACTGCAGAAAGTTCTGTTGGGTGATGCTATGTTAGACAACTGACTTGACTTGATACTCAGCTGGCTTTTATGATTCCAGGCTTCCCCCTTTCCCATATGCATTCCAAGCACTGCTGCAGACACACATGCCCGGAGTTATAATTTTTAAGTGATTTTGAGCAAGTCACTTTCCTGGGGAATAGGTTCTTCCTTTACAAAAACAAAGAGGCTAGACTACCTAATTCTTTTTCAGTTCTAACCATGCTCTGACTCTGTCTCTCCTCTATGCAGAAATATTTTTCTTTTGCTGCATCAAGTCCTTATTCCTCTGCTAGCCTCTCAAGTTTCTATATAATAGTGATCCCCAATGTTTTTGGCATCAGGGACTGGTTTCATGAAAGACAGTTTTTTCAGTGGGGGGTGTGGGGTTTGGGGTGATTCAGGTACATTACATTTATTGTGTACTTTATTTCTATTATTTGTTACATTGTATTATATAATGAAATTATTATTGTCATGAAATTATTATTTTGATACAAGTCTGCAAGCAATTAATTTATTATGGTCTCTGTGCAGTCACACCTCACTGCTAATGTTAATCTGTATTTGCAGCCTCTTCCCAGTGCTTGTGTCTCTACCTCATCTCATCTCCAACTCAGATCATCAGGCATTAGATTGTCATAAGGAGCACACAACCTACATCCCACGCATGTGCAGTTCACAATAGAGTTCACGTTCCTATGAGAATCTAATACATCTGCTGATCTGACAGAAGGTGGAGCTCAGGCGGTAATGTGAGAGATGGGGAGCCACTGTAAATTCAGATGAAGCTTTCCTTGCTCGCTTGCTACTCACCTCCTTACTGTGCAGCCCCGTTGTTCCTAACAGGCCACAGCCCGGTACTGGGCATGGGGGACTTGGGGACTGGGAACCCCTGCTGTATCACATACCTTTAACTTGAGGATTCACTTAGTTTGTTTTTTTTTTTTTTTTGAGTTGGAGTCTCACTCGGTCACCCAGACTGGAGTGCAGTGGCCGCTCCCGGCCACCGCAGCCTTGACCTGCTGGGCTCCGGCGATCCTTCCGCCTCAGCCTTCCCAGTAGGCAGAATTACAGGCATGCGCTACCACGCCCAGATGATTTTTTGATTTATTGTAGAGATGAGGTCTCGCTGCCCAGGCGGGTCAACCTCAGTTTTTACAGTCTTGCTGTAGTCAAACTTCACGTACTGTCTTTGAATACATTGTCTCCACCATGTAAGTGCAGTATGTTAAATGATGTTATCTAAGTAAGCACATAATGCTTTGGGAACTCATAGTAAAGGGAGCCTAACCCAAATTCTTTGGGGATATAGGGTGGGGTGTCAAAAAACGTGATCTAAGGCGAGGTGCAGTGGCTCACACCTGTAATCCCAGCACTTTGTGAGGCCAAGGCAAGCAGACTGCTTGAGCCCAGGAGTTCAAGACCAGCTTAGGCAACATAGCAAGACCTTGTCGCTACAAAAAATAAAAAATTAGCCTGGCATGGTGGCGTGTGCCTGTAATCCCAACTTTTTGGGAGGTTGGGAGGATTGCCTTGGACCTAGGAGTTTGTGACTGTGGTGAGCCATGATCATGCCACTGCGCTGCAGCCTGGATAACGGAATGAGACCGCACCTCAAGTAATAATAATCATACATTTTTAAAAAGATGTTCTAGACAAGGTGATACTTGAATTGAGTCTTGTTTATATAGGTTTTAGCATGGCAAAGAGGACAGCCAAGGATGTTCTAGGCTTAGGGAGAAGCCTACAGAAAGAAACAGAGGCTGGAGAATGCATGTCATATTCAGGAAACTGCAAAGCAGTTTAGTGTGGTTATAGGTGTGTATAGGGTATGTGTGTTGATGGTGACTGGGATGGGGGAAGCAGGCTGCTGGTGACATAAAGCTGGAGAGATAGGCAGGGATTATAACGGGCTTCAGATATCAAGCTAAGTCTGAATTTCATCCTGAAGCTATGAGTGTTCAGGACTGTAAATGGGAGTGAGTGACATGATCAGGTTTAAGTTTTCAGTCTCTTTGACTTTGGTGTGGAGGAAGGAGCAGAACTGGAGTCAGGGCAACCAGCTGTGAGGATTGGGCATCATCTAAGAAATGGTTATGGTAGTGGCAGTCAAGATAGAGAGAAGGCAAGGATTCCAGAGATATTAAGGAAGTGGAAGGGACAGGTCTCGTGACCTAGTGAGTATGCAGGGAGGAAGAAAATGGGGTTAATAATTTTGGTTCCAACAATTGTGTGGTTAAGGATGTTACTCATCAAGATTTTAAGAAGAGGAGCAGGAGGTTGTGGAGGGATGATAATTAGCTCCCATTCGGGGCTTGTTAAGATATCTATGGCCATCCAAATGATAGTGTCCAAAAGACATTTGTGTATATGGATCTGCAATATAGGTGACTTTGGGGTGGAATTACGGATTTGACATTCAGCATACAGTTTATAGTTTAAACTATAGGAGAGGTTGAAAATACCAAGAGGTAGAGAGTTAAATTAGTAGAGAGGAGAGCCTGGGATAGGGGCTTGGGCTAGGTGGTCCAGAATGGCTTCAGTTGCCTGTCTGGCAGTTGGCTGGGGCTTGTTGATCTTGGTTCTTTCTGTGGCTTCTTATTTTCCAATAAGCCAAGTGAGGTTTTATTCATGATGGCAGGGGCTTTCCAAGGGAGTGGAACAGGAGCTGCCAATGCCTCAGGAGCTCTTGCTTTGGACATTGCAGGGTCACTTCCATTGCATGTTAGTAGTTAAAGCAAGTCACCAGGCCAGGCCAGATTCAAGGGGTGAGGAGGCAGACTCTGTCTCTTGGTTAGAGGAACTGCAGAGTTATACCGCAAAAGTGCAGGGACACCGTGCCACAAATTGCTACTGTGTGCTGCTTATTGTGTAGGCTAGAAATGCCTCCTGCATTTAGGTGGTAAACTTATGTATATTTCCCTTCTGCTTTAAGGGACACAAAAACAGTTTTGTGGGATTCTTTGTCTTCTTTTTAAAGATTTTCAAAGTACAATTTAAAAATTTTTTTTGAGGTTGTAGAAGATTTGGCATGCTGTTTATATGTATTCTCTCTCTCTCTCTCTGTGTGTGTATACATACACACATTTATATATACACATGTACATATATGGAAATAATTATTGGTTTTACCTTTCAGAGTACAAAGTAATATATACCATGTTAACAAACTAAACAACATGGTGGTGAACTTAGAAAAAGCATATCATCTCTCTCCTTCCACCCTTTATTCCCAAGGAAACCAACACTGACAGTTTAGTGGAGCCTTCCATACTTTTCTCTCATGCTCATATGTGTAAACATTTATAGAGGTTTTATTGTTTATTTTTGTAAGGCAACATTGAATACTGTCATATACCTCACTGTGTAAAAGGCAACATTGAATGCTGCCATACACCTCACTGTGTAAAAGGCAACATTGAATGCTGCCATAGACCTCACTGTGTAACTTGCTTTTATCATTTTGAAGACATGTTGTCCACATCCCGTTTTTAATCAACATACCTGTTTTTAATTTTAATAGACATGCCAGATGACTTCTCCATCAGGTTGTAGCAATTTATATTTCCAAAAGCAGAGTGAAGGAACTATAAAGAGCCAACACATTTTTCTGTGCCTTAAATTGTAAAATACACAGAAAAAGTGTTTTGCTTAGTGTGACTATTACATATAGGTTTCAGAGAATTATTTGCTGCAACCAAATTGACAGAACTCTATAAATCATTTATTGATATTATACCCCTGACTGCTTTTTTAAAGTGAGTTAGATAATGCCCCTTTATACAAAAGCTAAATGGAGTTTTAAAACTCTTTACTGTTATTGCCTTGAGCTATTAATATGTCATTATTCTATTTACTTTGATCATAGTTTTCTCGAATCGTCTGATTAATGGACTGCTTTAATCTTGACAGGAGGTTGAAACCTACTTTTTTGAGGGTCTGCTGAAATGGAGAGAATTGAATCTCACGGAACACTTTGGTATTTTCTACTTTATTTCTATTTTATTCACCCATAATTTACACATTATATGTTCCATATAACTGAAAAGTGATGTGATGGAAAAGAAAAACATACTCTTTTTTTTTTTCCACTCAGGGAAATTTTACAAAGAAGTCATTGACAAATGCCAATCATTCAATCAGTTGGTCTACCATCAAAACAAGATAGTTTTGAGTTTGAAGACGCACCTGCAAATTAAGAATAGTTTTGCCTATCAGCCTCTTTTGGAGTAAGTAGCATCTTGACAGAAAGGTTGACTATACTTGCCTGAATTTTAAGAAAGATCATGTTTCATAGCTACATGTGCCTTAGATCAGGTGTTTGTAATCTAGAAAACAAGGAGTTTACCTTTTCTATTACCGTAGAGCAGAATTTTAGGGGTACAGTTTGCATTTGTTATACGCTCCTAATAGAACCTCGTTTTTCATTTATACTATAGGAATGATTGGCCATAATATATGGTGGAATACCCCTTCGTGCCTGATTTCTTTGCTGAACTCTTAAGATTTAAGTAATTTGATGTCTCTTGAGACTTGATTTAGAAGTATTTTGATTTAATTAATCCTGTGATCATAGGCCATCTATGATCATCAAGTCGATTTGCAGTCTTTGTTTAAATCCACATAATCAGTTGCTTCTTTTTTTTAATCCAGTTTGGTTGTACAGTTGGCACGAGATCTGCAGACAGATTTCTATCCACACTTTCCAGATTTTTTTGTGACCATCACATCAATCCTGGAGACTCAGGACACAGAGTTGTTAGAATGGGCTTTTACCTCGTTGTCATACCTTTACAAGTACCTATGGAGACTGATGGTGAAGGACATGTCCAGTATATACAGGTGACCCTTTTCTCACTCTCATGTGATTTTTAACTGCCTTTCTCTTTTTTCCCTGGTTTCTCTCTGACTCCAAACTATCTTTCCAGCTCAGTGCCTAATTATTGCCTTACACAACGGTGATTCTCCAACTGAAGGAGTCCACAGGCTATTCTGCCAGTCTGCACTGACCTGACCTCTCACCTCCAGCTGTTGAAATTATACCCACCCATCAAAACCTAGCCTGGGTTCCATAACCTCCACAGATATTCCCAGGCACCTTAGCCAGAAATGAAAACTTTGTACTCTCTACCCCTTTTGGCATTTTTAAACCACTTATGTTAGGTAACTTTTACTGTAATTGCTTGTTTATAATGTTATGCTGTGCTCTACCAACCTGTGAACTCTTTAAGAACTCTGTCTTAAACCTGGCATTTCTCCAGCCACTACTATAGTCACCAAAAGAGAGGAACTGTAGGTGGGGAAAGAGAATGAATTTCATAGTAGCTTTTTGTTTACACTTTTTTTTTTGAGTTGGAGTCTCACTCTGTTGCCCAGGCTGGAGTGCAGTGGCACACTCACAGCCACCTCAGCATTGACCGGCTGGGCTCCGGCGATCCTTCCACCTCAGCCTTCCAAATAGCTGGAACTACATGTGCATGCTACCACACCTGACTAATTTTTGATTTACTGTAGAGACGGGGGCCCGCCAAGTTGCCCGGGCTGGTCTCGAATCCATAGGCTCAGGCAGTCCACTCGCCTCGGCCTCCCAAAGTGCTGGGATTACAGACTGAGCCACTGAGCCCGGCCAGCTTTTTGTTTAAAGTAAGGGCAAGATTATCTGACTTAGTCTGGGCTTTGATGGAATTTTCCACTTCATCTGGAGATGGATTGTTTCCACACACTGTAAAAAATACGATAAAAAGTTGGCCATTTTCTCCCCAGTAGAAGGAATGGGTGCAGGATGGGACAATAGGCTGCCTTTTTGTGCCACTCCTTTCGCTCTGCCCACCCTTCTTTTTTTTTTTTTTTGAGTTAGAGTCTCACTCTGTCGCCCAGACTGGAGTGCAGCCACCCTTCTTTTTTAGGAACTTTGAATAAGGAATGATAAAGGAATGTTTTCCAGCTTTTACTAGTTCTCTGTGAAGCTTTTGGTAAAATGTGTTAGAGACCAAGATTATTTTATTAAACAACCAGTAAGGTCCTTGGGAAATATAGTTTATTTAGTTTTAAGACTTCAACTGTCGTAAAAGCTGCCACTTTGATATCTCCTAAGTTAGACTCTTCTGTTATAAATATATTTGCTTTCAGTATGACCTCTTTAACAGCCTGGATATTTTCACTTGAGTATTATGGAAACCAAACTCAGCATATTCCTACTCAAACCAACTCTGAAATTCCCATTTATTCATGTTCAGGACCTGCCATATGCCAGGTCCTGCTTTTTGCCCATTTTCTATCAGTGATACCAACATTCTTCCCGTCACTAAGTCTCGGTGCCTGCGAGGTGACTTTGACCCAGTTGTCTGCAAGGACTCCAAGTCCTCTTGATTCTGTCAGTCACACACTTGCTAAGTTATTTATTGAACACTGTCTGTATGAAGGCACCTGAGATACAATCACAAATTAAAACATGAAATCCCTCTTTTCCCAAAGCTTACATTTTAGCAAGGGGAGAACATCTTAGGCACATGCCAGCATGTTCAGGGAATAGTAAGTAGCTCAGGGGGCAGAACAGCCTGTGTCAGGATGAGTGGGTGGTGCTAGAGAAGAAGCAGTGAGAGAGCCAGATCAGCAGGGGCCCTGAAGTCACCCATTGTAAGGGCTTTGGCTTCCTTGCAGAGACTCCTGAAATGGTTCTTGGGTCCATCCTCTGCCAGTTCCTCTCCTACCATTCTCTCTCATGCCCATGGTTAACCCAAACTTGTATGATTTGAGCAGCTTTCTAGTTGAATTGTCAAACCTCTTCTTTCTTCCTTTGTTTTATCCTGTATATTGCTGTCAAATTAACTGTCTGGAATAGTCATTTCTCATTCAGCCAATATTTCTTAGTACCTGCTATGAGCAAGGAGCTGTTATGTACTAGGTTAGGGCAAAAACAGGAGAGGGAGAGAGAGTTCATGTGCTTCTGTTACTAGGATGACCAATTTAAACAGTGTGATTATACCAGTAATTGTTTAGTTATAGTTGCATGGCTGGATGCCCTGAGCAGATTGCTTATACTTTCTGTCTCACTTTCATTACCTGTAGAATGGGAATAAAAATAATAGAATCCATCCCATAGAGTTTTTGCGCTAATTAAGTGAAGTAATACAGAGTAAGTGCCTGTACAGATGGAAGCTGGAACCCAGATTGTTCTGCTTGGTGTTCAGAGCTACCTGTGCACCTGGGCAGTTTATCCTCAGTGATATTATCCTTCCTCTTAGATATTCTAGCCTTTGTTCTCTCTTGACCATGATCATTTTTGTCTACCTCATCTGTGCACTCGCTTTTTTCCTGATTACATGCACTCTAATTCCCACCTGAATTCCTGTCACTCAGAGCTCTCCACGAGCTTCAGCTCTCCATGGAGTCTTGTCTATTGGACCAGCACCCCTGGTCGTAGGACCTGTCTATATTCTTGGTAATTGACTGAGATTTTAAACTTGTTTTTACCTACTGTGCATTCCTTGCATACCTAGCACAGTGTTGGACATATGTTTGACATGTAGTGCATCTTTGTTAATCAATTTATTAGCTATTAACATGCTAATGATTTATCAAATCATGTATTATGGTTTAATTATGATTTATTAAACATGGCTTTTTTTTCTCATGTGTAGCATGTACAGTACACTCCTGGCTCATAAAAAACTACATATAAGAAATTTTGCTGCTGAAAGTTTTACTTTTTTGATGAGAAAGGTTAGTCTGATGTTTTATATATTTATTGCTAGTTAATCATCAAGAATCTGATGAATAGAAGCAGATTTTTAAACCTGTGATTATTAGGGACTAATGTAAAAAAATGTATATATATGTTTTGAGTTTATTTCACAATAAGGTTAAGGCTTTGCTCACTAATTAATGTAATATAATTTGTGTCACTATTTTATTGTTATTTAGGTTTTTGGTGTCTTTCAGTGTGTATGGGTGTATATATATTAAAAGTGCCCTCTAATTTAAGTTAGTAAATCCATGAACAGTGAGATTAACAGGACTTCTTGTAATGTCCTAGAAGGAACTGGTAGCATAGAGGCATTTGTGTTTGCCTAAAATATCTATAGTGAAATTTAGAGGGTTTTTGTAATAAAACAAAGGCATTGATGTAATCTTTTATGCTCATAAAATGCAAATATATGATTTACTTTAAAAGATAGAATGTTGCTTTATATAGTTTTTTGTAGTACATATCTTCCTGTCATACCAGTGAATTTGTGTCTGTTGTGTGGCATTCCTAGTGAGAGTGCACTATTAAGAGTAGCTTGAGATCATGATAAATGTCTGTTCCTTTCACAGTTTTTTCCTAAGTATATTTAAATGTGAATCTGTAGAATAGCAAATAAGATTTCTTCATTTAGGTCTATTTATGTTTGTGAATATAATTTTCCATTTACGCTTTATATTTTAGGTCTCCGATAAAAATGCACTTTTCAATTTAATGTTTCTTGATCTTGGTGAACATCCAGAAAAGGTAGAAGGAGTTGGACAGTTGCTCTTTGAAATGTGCAAAGGAGTTAGAAATATGTTTCACTCCTGTACAGGCCAGGTGCGTAATGGGGAGGGTATTTAGAGTCTATGTGGAAGGGTTAAACAGAAAGTAGAAACAAATGAGGCTAATGATGAAAGAGGACAGCTGAGAATAGCCCTAGATGAGGAGTGTGAGGTGTCCAGTAGCAGTACTTACCCAGTGTAGGCCTTGGACAACTAGGTAGTTTTTCTTATAAAATCTTTGCTTTCTTCTTCATCTTGGATCTTGAGGGTAACATAAATTGATTGAAGGGCAATGGTAGGTGAGGAGGGTACAGTTGTATGATAAAATTCTCCATCCTCGTTCAGAAATTTTTGGGACACAGTTAACCATCAAAGTTGCCGTGTCCTTGACTATTCAGACCAGATGTTTAAGGTAGCTAATATAATCAGAGTGGCAAATCCCAGAGTAGTACTTAAAGCTAAGGATTTATATGTAATTTCATTCCTACAGGCAATGAAGCTAATTTTGCAAAAGCTGGGACCAGTCACTGAAACAGAGACTCAACTACCATGGATTTTAGTTGGAGAAACACTAAAACACATGGTCAGATCCACTGTATCCTACGTCTACAAGGAACATTTTGGTACATTTTTTGAATGTTTGCAGGTGAGTTTTGATCTTTAAGGGCGGGTGTGTAACAGAGTCCAAGATTTATTGTTATTGCTCTTAGTTTTGCAGAGTTGCCCTGCAGATTGTACTTTATATTGCTTTCTTCATGCTTCTCCCTGCACATTAAGAGGTTCCTCCCTCCCCCTGTACTGTTTTCATGTGCTGGGACATTGTGAGATGCAGGAGAGCACAGATGTTTAGAGAGGCTCTGGCGCTGGGCTGCCTGCTTGAGTTTTGGTTCTGGGAAAAGCTATTTGAAGTCTCTCGTTCTTTGTCTCTCCAGCTAATAAATGGGGGTATTAATATTCCCTACCTCATGGTTGCTGTGAGGCTGGGGAGTGAAAACCTGTAAAGATCTTAGTCACTCTTACTGACTGACTCCTGGCAAATGCAACTTTTTCTTCCAAAACAAAAGAATGTGAAAAGTTGAACCGTGTCACACAATGTTTTCATTCTTGGATTAAAATGATGAGTTTGATATTTTATAGTTATTCTCCCTGTTAAATTCTTTGTTTGCAGGAATCACTCCTGGATCTACATACAAAAGTAACAAAAACTAACTGTTGTAAAAGTTCTGAACAGATTAAAGAATTGTTGGAAGCGTATCTGATACTTGTGAAATACGGAAATGGATCAAAGATAACGACGCCTGCCGATGTTTGCAATGTGAGCTCCCAAGTTAATATGCTTAAGAGCCTGTTTATAAAAGCTGATTGCCAAGGATACATCGTTTTTGTTTTTTTAAATTTTGCAGGTGTTGTCTCAAACATTACAAATAACCAGTCTCTCTACATCTTGCCGGAGGACACTCTTGGATGTAATCTCTGCCTTGATCCTGGGTGAAAACGTTTCCTTGCCGGAGACTCTCATCAAAGAAACCATAGAAAAAGTAATTTACTTCAACAAACATTAATTGGATAGCTAATAATACGTTTAAAATTGAGTAGACCTGCTGGGGAATACAAATGAAGCATGACAAAGGCTCTGCCCACATCTTGTTAAGGAGATGAGAATTGCATGCTGTGATGAAAAATAAGCAGAATATAGTGTGACAAAAGCTAATAAATCTACACAGCAAATATTCTGCAAACATAGGTAGCTTACTATGTGTTGGGTGTGAGCTAGGTATCCAGGTGAACACTATGATATCTACGGTTTTCCATTGTTTTGGGGGAACTGGAGCCTGGGAATTAGTAATAATCTAGTGAATGAATTGATTAGGTATATATTGAATTATAACTTAATCCTGCCTGGGATTGAGGAACAGAGGAAGCCCTTCCAGGGACTTGTATTTGGGCTAGCCCTTGAAGGTTAAATGCAGTAATAGTCTGCCTGTCAGAGGAGCAGTTAAAAACACTAAGAGAGGGAGCAGCAAAGACACGTGTTCACAGTGTTTGTAGTCTGGGCACACAGACACTTGAGGAAGTGTGGTGTGATCTCAACAAAGCTCTGCTTGGCTTTGAAAAGTTAAGGTGGGTTTTATCCTGCACGTGCTGGAGGACCCTGGGAAAATTCTAAGCTGGTGTGTGAGTTGATAGGATTTGCATTTTAGTGAGTTTGAAAGCTGGAATTGAGTTTGCAGGTGGGATTGGGAATAGATCAGTGAGGTTCTTCCTAGTTTGGTGGGCACAGTGGTGTGCCTTGGGGAAGATGGAAGCCCTCACGACTTGCCCTTGCTTTTTACATGGGTGGGTGAACGACCTCAAGCAAAGCCTGTACTCACTAGAGGTACAGCACCCTTTGCAGAAGGCTGAGTGTTTGGACAGCACTCTGGAGGAAGTGGGCCCCATTCCCTTCCACAGCTGCTCTTTTGGGGGAAATGGGGAAAGTGCTCTCTGCGTACTTAGGCTAATGTTTTTAAACTGTGCTCCACAGATATTTGAGAGCAGATTTGAAAGATGTTTAATTTGGGATTTTTCTGAAGTCATGTTTGCTATGAAGCAGTTTGAACAGGTAAGCAAGATACTAAATTTTGGCATGAAAAAGGATCTGTCCTGACAAAATAATCACAGTTGAAATTCAGTGATTTGGGGTTTTATGGAGGGGGGCAGTAAGTGTTTAATGTTTTAGTCGATCTGTGTTTTTTAAAGAAATTATATTCATACATACTTTACTTATGTTGCAGATTCTCATATATACCCCACAACTCTAAGTAAATAAATAAATAAATAAATGTTTAATTCTAGGATGTGGGTGAAACATTTTCTGAATGCTAAGACATTTTAAATAAAACCTGTTAGCCAACTTATTTTTTAAAATAATCCTTTAGGAAGTTACACAACTATGTGATAAGAGTGAAAAGCTAGTTTAAGGAACTTATGTGTGAATTTGAAGCATAGATGATAGTTTCTGAGGCTGGGTACGGTGGTTCAAGCCTATAATCTAGCACTTTGGGAGGCCGAGGCGAGAGGATTGCCTGAGCCTGCTGGTTTAAGACCAGCATGGGCAATATGGTGAGCCCTTCCTTGTCTCTACAATAACTCGTAAAATTAGCTGGGCATGATAGTACGTGCCTGTAGTTCTGACTACTTGGAAGGCTGAGATAGGAGGATCTCCTGAGCCCAGCAGGTTGAGGCTGTGGTGGCTGGGAGTGTGCCGCTGCACTCCAGCCTGGGCAACAGAGTGAGACTCCAACTCAACAAAGAGAAAATAGCTTCTGAAACAGTTTGCCTTTGAGGAAGGTTTCAAATTCGTTTCTTTTCTTTTTTTTTAACTTTTAAATTTTTTAATTTTAAAATTGTGGGGTACAATTCAGGGTTAGGGATACAGATATTCATTGTGCAGGTATCCTTGTTGATGAGGTGTGCTCCCCCTTCCCTAGGCAGATTTCCACTACTGTCAATCCCACCTCCCTGCCCTCTCCCTACTGTCAATCCTTTTCTTATAGTATTATGGTAGTTGTTCAAGGTCCTCAAATTCATTTCGTTGCTACAAAATAGATACCTGATGGAACAAGGTAGAAACTGTTCCCAGTCTTGAGTTTATTTTATCCCTTTCCCCTCACTGCATCAGACATCTGCACCTCCTTAGAGCTAGTGACCCTGGAGTATCCTCCATGAAAACCTAGCTCTGTATTTGTCCTCTCTTCTCTTTAGTCTTTAATAATATATATTCCCATATAATAATATATATAGTCTCATTTGTCTGAAAAAAACCCTTTCATATGTGTCCTAGATTCTATTTTTTCTGCATATGGAAACACTTTAACTTGCTCTTGTTTTCTTAGCAACTGTATCTTTCCCTTCTATTCTGTTCCCTTTAGACTTCTTTTTTTAAATTTTACTTTTATGAGAGTACTACATAGATATAGGTAGTTTAAAAAGTTAAGCAATGCTAAACGGTTGTCTTGTTTTACCAACAGCCACCACATATAATGATTTGTAGCTATTTCTTTCTGGTATTTACTTTATATTTTTAATCCTCTGAATAAATGGCTTTTCCTTGGTCTGCCAGTTTTAGTCCTCACCTATAGACTTCTTCCTGTGGGAGATGGACTTTTGTTTTTTCACACCCCTAACCCTTCCAATAGGGTTCTGTCTCAGATTTTTGTTGAATCCATATTTGCCACATACTTAGTACTTATAAACAAGGAGCATTTTATGATTATATGTCCTTTTTGTGTACCATCCCATTTATCCTAGTGTTTATAATTGCTTCATTCTTATAACGGAAAATTTTTTAAATAATGAGACAGTGAGTCCATCTTAACAGTATTGTGAATAACCTTCACCTGGTCAACTGTCAGGTAAGTTGGCAGCTCAGCTTTCCTTCTTTCTTGGAGACGTTTCTCCTGGAGCAAGTCCAGTCTGAATGCATTGCCTTCTCAGCCCACTGCACAGATGTAATGCTGGGCCTTCTGTTGCTTCTCTCCTGTTTCCTGGGTTCCATGTTTTTCTCTTGCTAGTTTATGTTCTAATTTTGAGGGAGCACATTTTCCAGAACTTCCTGAAAAGGCAGGGGTGAATGGAGATAAAATTGTGAGATTTGGTATATCTGAAATGTCTTTCTTCTCGCCTCATGCTGCATTGTTAGTAGGTGGGCTATAGAATTCTAGATTCTGACTCCGCTTCCCTCAGAGTTTTTGAGACTGCTTCATTTTAAGATTATTCTTGTGTAGAAGTCTTAATGCCGTTGTATTTTCTGATCTTTTATTTATAATCTGGTTTTTTTGAAGTGTCATTTTAGTAGGTTTTCTGAAATTGATATCTGTTAATAAGTGTGATTTCTTTTTCTTATTTTTAGCTTTTTCTACCAAGCTTCCTTTCATATATTGAGAATTGCTTCTTAACTGATGACCTTGTGGTCAAAGATGAAGCCCTGGCCATTTCAGCCAAGCTCATTCTGAACAAAGCAGCACCTCCCACCGCTGGCCCGATGGCAATTGAAAAGTACCCTTTGGTTTTCTCACAGCAGACGGTGGAGTAAGTTCTAAGTTTTTATTCCCATAATGTTGAAAGATTACCCATTTAAATATAATACATCAGGATGCTGTAAAAAATGAAGATCTATCTATCTGTATTAACTAGAAAGATGTCCACAATGAATTGTTACATGAAAAAAGCAGGTTGTAGAAGCATTCACATACTACGTGTAGTGTGATCTCATTTTGCAAAGTTAAAACAAAAAGTGTATTTGAGCATAGAAAAACTATGGCCTTCTCACTTTGTTTATACCAGAGGGCCGGTAAGGGAGAGAAAGAGATGACTACACGCAGTCGCCAAGAAATAGTACAGAGGTTCTGTGTGCCCCGTGGTTACATCCTATACAAGCATACTGCAGTATCACAACCAGACAATTGACATTGGTACAATCCACAAGTCTCACTCCCATTTCATCAGTTTTGTGTGTACTCGTCTGAGTGTGTATACTGGTTTGGATATGTAGTCTGTGCAGTTCTGTCACATGCATAGACTTGTGAGCACCACCAGAGGGAAGATTGGAACTCTACAATCCATGCTACAATCCATCCCTCCTGCTACACTCTCCCTTCTGCTCCCTATTCCACTCCTAACCCATGGCACCTCTACTCTGTTCTCCATTTTTCAGCTTCATCATGTTAAGGTTGTTATATAAAAGGAATTATAGTGCACACCCTTTGAGCCTGGCTTTTTTCACTCAACATAATTCCCTTGTGACCCGTCGAAATGGTAGTATGTGTTAATGGTCCATTCCTTTTTATGACTGTGTACTGTGGTAATCCGTGGGTTGGATGCAGCATAGTCAGCATAGCCTGTTTAATCATGAACTTGTTGAAGGACATTCAGGTCGTTTCCAGTTGACCATTATGTATAAAGCTGTTAGAAACATCCATGTTTTCATTTCTGTGAGATAAATGCCCCAAAATGGAATTGTTGGATTCAGTGATAAGACCAAGTTTCGTTGTCTGAGCAGTGTTAGTTTCTCAGAGTGTCTGTGCCATTCACATTCCCTCAGCAGTGCAGGGTAACCTTGTTTCTCTGTATCCTTACCAGCCTTTGGTATATCACTACTCTTGATTCTTTCCAGGCTGATCAGGGTATAGGAACATCTCACTAGGTTTAATTTGCGTTTCCCTAATGGCTAATGATGTTGAAGCATCTTTTCGTGTGCTTGTTTGCTATCTATATGTCTTCTATAGTGAAATATCTTTATTGCTTTGGCCCATTTTCTGTCTGGCTTCTTTGTTTCTTTACTGTTCAATTCTGCAAATGCCTTATCTGGATACAACTCCTTTTGTCAAATATGTGATTTGCAAATAATTTCTCCTAGTCTGTAGCTTGTCTTTATTCCCCTAACAAGTTTTTTTCGCCAAGCAAAGTTTTAAATTTTAATGAGATCCAATTTATCAAAACATTTTTTTTTTAATGGATAATACTTTTGATGTCGAGTCTAAGAACTCTTTGCCTAGCCCTAGGTCCTAAAGATTGTCCCTTATTATTTTTTTCTACAAATGTTACTATTTTATGTTTTACATTTAAGTCTATGATCCATTTTTAGTTTACTTTTAGACTGGATGAGGTGGCTCATGCCTATAATCCCAGCACTTTAGGAGGCTGAAGTAGGAGGCTTGCTTGAGCCCTGGAGTTTAAGACCACTCTGGCCAACATAGCGAGACCTCATCTCTATAAAAAAAAAAATAGAAAATTTAGCCAAGCATGGTAGTGTACACCTATAGTCCCAGCTACTCAGGAGGCTGAAGTGAAAGGACCACCTGAACCTAGGAGGCGGAGGCTGTGGTGAGCCGTGATCTTGTCACTGCACTCCAACCTGGGCAACAGAGTGAGACCTCTGACTCAAAAAAAAAAAAAAAAAATTGTAGAAGGTTTAGTTCGAGTTTCTTTTCCTTTTTTTTTTTTTTTTTTAGCCTAGGGACGTCCACTTTCTGTGGCAGTTTTTGTTGAAGAGGTGATTCTTCCTCATTGAACTGCTTTTAGCAACTTTGTCAAAAATCATCTGGGCATATATGTGGGCCTAACTTCCAGGCCCTTGATTCTGTTCCATTGGTGTGTGTGTGTCTGTACTCCTCCGTGTGTGTCTATACTCCTCCAGCACCACACTGTCTTAATACTGTAGTTTTAAAATAAGTCTTGAAATCTTTAAATCTTTAAATGTATTTAAATCTTCTTGCTTTATTCTTTTCAAAATTGTGTTAGCTATTCCTGGTCCTTTGTCTTTCTTTATAAATGTTAGAATAAGGGCCGAGCACAGTGGCTCATGCCTGTAATTCTAGTACTTTGGGAGGCAGAAGTGGGAGGATCACTTGAGGCCAGAAGTTTGATACCAGCCTGGACAACATAGCAAGGCCTCGTCTCTATCAAAAAAAAAAAAAAAATTAGTTGGGCATGGTGGCACACGCCTGGAGTCCCAGCTACTTGGGAGGCTGAAGCAGAAGGATCGCCTGAGCCTAGGAGGTCGAGGCCGGGGTGAGATATGATCATGCCACTGTACTCCAGCCTGGGCAACAGAGTGAGACCCCCTACTCAAAAAAAAAAAAAAAAAAAAAAAAAAAAAAAAGCAATAAGCTTATCTGTGTCTACAAAAAAACCTTCCTGGGATTTTGTTAGTAGTTACATTAAGCCTATTGATGAATTTGGAGAGAATTAACATCTCCCCAAGGTTACACAAAGCTATTAACTTTGTTTATGTTAGGAGGCTGATAAGGGGAGAAAAGAAATGACTATTCATTTTTAAATGATATTCTTTTGCATTGTTTTAGTTGCAAAGGGCCATGGATTACTTACCTAGCTTCATTCAGAACAATGTATACTCTTGAGAAATTAAAAACAAAGTGTATTTAAATATGTGAGAAGATTCAGCTTGTTTTTTAGATAGTTAAGTGGGTTTGCTTATAGAAATTGTCAGTCCCTTGTTTTTATACTCAATTTTCTTGTTTCTGTTGGAGTAGGTAGACCTGTGGTTGCATTTGTGGTTTGCTTTGAGGCAGTAGGAATAGTGGGACATTCCTTGAATTTTGCTGACTGCTCAGATGTGAAGCTTCCCAGCACCCACTGAGGGGAGTTAAGGTCCTGCAGTCACACAGCAGGGCCAACTTCTGAGTGTGATCAGCTGGGGGTTCTGGAGAAACCCATCTTGACACCTACTCACATCTGCCTACCTTAGAAGTAGCATCTGTATCAAAATATGCCTTCTGAATCTTGGTTTTTGAATGTACTAAACTCTGATCCTGGGGAACGGGGAATGAATCTCTGTAAAACTCTTCCTTTAGAACTTTATCTTGACTTGGCAACACCAAACCCATCTTCAGCAGGCAACTTCCTCGCAAGTGTCAAGACTGTGGGTTCTGAGCAGTCAGAGTGAAGCTGCTTTGCTGCTTGGCTTGCACGAGGTGAAGCCAAGGACTGAATGAGGCTGGGGTCAGACCTTCTCATGTTTGTCCTTCTGCTGGCAAGGGGAAAGAAATGAGTGCAGTCTGATGGCAAGTGCAGCCACTTTGCTGTTCTTCTGCCATTCCCAGAAAGGTCTGGCCTGTGTGAATGGTCACCTTTGATTTGATTCCGTCTGTGAAGATGTTGAAATAATTGTCTGAAATATTCCTAGTAACATTCTGTCCACCCATCTCTCCTGTTTGTCGTGAGAATAAAAAGAGATCATAAATGTGAAAAGACTCCTCGGGAGATAAATTATTCTGTCATCTGACAAATACATATAGTATGTGGCACTGTCCCAGACACTGGGGTACAACAGTGAATGAGAAGAAGGTTTCTTCTTTTGGGGAGATAACATTCTCGGGGGGAGGAACATGGTAAGGCACATAAGCAAAGAAGCAAGATGATTACAGATAGTGATCAAAAAAGATGAAGCAGGGTTTTGAGAGAGAAAATCAGTGGGAGCCTTTGGACCATTTGCAGACTGGGACTAATGTGGCCTTGCAAAGACCTAAGTGCAAGCCTTTCCAGGCAGAGGGAAGAGTCCCTGCAAGGCTTTGGGGCAGGAGTGAACTCAGCTTGTTTGTAGAAGCAAAACAAATCCTGTGTGGGTGAAGCAGTGAGGAGGAGGAGAGAGGACTGAGGAGGTGAGGAGGGAGGCCAGAGCTGGGTTGCACGGCCCTTCAGGGTGATGGCCACGGTGTGGGTTTATTGGAGGACCTCACTGGCCAGTCACACAGAGCAGGGGAATGACAGGGCAGCTAAGGACTGTTCATTATGCTTAAGGATCTCAATATTTTGTAAGGCTTTTGAGTCATGGTTATTACAAAAACGACAGTATAGATCAAGCTGTGGTGACTTGGAGAAATTGACAGTTAAATTAACTTAGTTTTCTCTCATAATTTCCAAATACTTAATATTCTAATAAGTATGAAACAAAAGAGAATGTAACTTTTTGGTTAATTTTAATGATCAAAAGCACAGGAATGAAAGCCTGACATTCTACTTCTGTTGCATAACAAGCCAACCAGACTAGAGTTGGAGGATAAATTGTAAAAAAAAAATCATTTTTCTTATTATTTCTGTGACTTTTATTTGATGAGATTTTTGCTTTTCAAATGGGACTAAGGTGCATTACACTGGTAATAGTAAAAAGTTGCTAACAAGGACAGAACCAACGTAAGAGATAGCACACACTGAATGCTATCAGAAAATGTCATTGAGTAACTATATGTCAGATCAAAGCAGAGGAAAAAATTACCTTTAAGTCATAATCATTTTAGAGGCATTTGTCAGCCTCATGGCAACTTTTGCAATATCATTCTACATTTGTGAAGTAGTGAAATTCATGTTGAAAAGGAAAGAGGAAATGGAGACCAATTCATTTATTCCAGCGAATTGCCCCTCAAAAGCATGCCTGGCCGCACAAAATGGAGATGTAATACCTGTAGTTAGGAGAGACTTGCTTCACATTTTGAAGCAAATTAAAACAGAAGTGAAAGGAAGTAGAGCCACGGGTGAAAGAGGCCTCTCGCTGCCAGTCCTTGACTCACGTTTCTTTAGTTATTTCTGTTCAATCACTAGCACGTGATCCTTGCCCAAGTGCTCCACAGTGGTGAGGAACTAATTTTATGTCAAACTTCAGGGAGCAAGAGTGATTTGCATTCTCCTAGTTTGAACACATATGTATCTTTCCATTCCTCAGATCCTATGTGAGGCAGAGGAGGACGAGATCCAGGGGAGGAAGCAAGCAGACCTCAGTGTTGGACCACCTCTTGTCCACAATTCAGTCACCTCCAAATGAGGACACTGCCTACCTCTCAGGTTGTTGGGCAGCTCTTGTGGTGTTACCTCATGTAAGGTAAGGCAGCAAACTGGGTTTACTTTTGGACGATACACTTAACATGTTGATTAAAATCTGTTAGCCAGTCCTTGCCTTTCTAGGAAGACGCCATTTAGTGCCAGTTTGAACTTCTCCCTTTTTCTTTTCACTCCTGGGACAGACCTCTTGAGAAAGAGAAGGTGATCCCACTCGTCACATGCTGCATAGAGTCACTCTTCATCACTGTTGACAGAGGGAGCTTTGGCAAAGGTCAGTCACAATCAACCCTTGTTCTCTTCTCTTCTTTTCTGGCACGCTGAAGTAATTGTAAACACTGGAATATGAGAGAATAAATACTAACATCGTGCTCTGGCATAACCCCCGGTATGACAAATCCAGGGACAAAAGAGGATGCAAGGGACATGTTTCCCTTGTGCCACATCATGTGGTGACCAGGTCAAGGTGGCTTGAAGATGAGGAGGCGGAATGTTGGGGATGTCATGATTAGAAGATCATTTGTTTTCTGGCTCCAGACTGTGTCCTGTTTCCCATCTCCCACCCCCACCTGGGCCCTGGTGCACACCTGATGCTCCAGACATTGCCATTTCCTTACCTTGAGCCAGACACATGCTCTTACAACCATGTGGTTGCCTTTGCACATGTGTTCTCTCTGTCCAAGACCTTTCTAGGTCTTGGTCATTCAGTGAACTCTTGCTGATCTTTCAAAACTCAGCTCAAGCACAACCTCTTTGCCTTCATGACTCTTCCAGGCAGAATTAGGCTGTCCTGCCCAAAACACCATTTTCTATCGTGTACTTGTACATCTCCCCCACTAGCTGACTAACAGCATTTAAAAGCAGCTATTCTGTAACTCTAGCACTTTGGGAGGCCGAGGTGAGTGGATTGCCTGAGTCCGTGGGTTCGAGACCAGCCCAGGCAACTTGGCGAGACCTTGTCTCTACAATAAAATAAAAAATAGCCGGGCGTGGTAGTGCCTGTCTGTAATTCTGGCTACTCGGAAGGCTGAGGTGGAAGGTTCACTGGAGCCCAGAAGGTCGACTCTGGGGTGGCCGTGAGCATGCGAGCCACTACACACCAGTCTGGGCGAAGGAGTGAGACTCCAACTCAAAAAAAAAAAAAAAAAAAGCAGCTATTTTGTTTTGTTTTAACACAGTATTCAGTATTTTTTCCCAGCACATATACAGTAGTCATTTGTTCAGTTACATATGAATGTGCTACACTCTGTTAGATATTAAGCAGACATATTAGATAATGAAGTAGACTTTCCACATCTCAAGTGCTCTGTGGCTGCATGTGGCTACTATATTGGATTGTGGCTACATTATTGGCACAAGTATTTTTACTACTGTAGAAAGTTCTTTTGGACACCATTGGTCTGCAGCCCAGAGCAGGGGCTGGCAAAATCTTTGTGTAAAGGACCAGATGGTAAATATTTTAGGTTTGTGGACCACATTCAGTCTTGTTTACATATGTTGTTGTTGTTTTTAACTACCCCTAAAAAATGAAAAAAAATCCTTAGCTACAAGCTAAGGCCACATAAAAACAGACTTCCTACCAGATCTGACTTGAGGGTCATAGTTTGCTGACCCCCAGGTTAGAGATTAAATGAGTACTTAATTAATATCATTAATTGGATGTATTACTGGCGGTAGCCATTGGATATGTGACTTCTTGTAAATTGGAGTAGAATTTTTTTAAAAAACTACATTTTATACCAAGATAATTCCTTAGCTATTGAAAAGCCCAAGCCTACTCTTCCCAAAAGACCTGGCTTTCTTTGGTAAGGCCAGTTAGCAGGGGCCTCACGCTTTGTCCTAATCTTGGTTATTCTCTACTTGTGAGTATATGTTTTTCTTGAGAAAGATAAAATATAAGACTTGGAAACTTCTCTTTTTTGTTTCTTTCTGTTGTATTCAGACATTTGACCGATAGTTCTTTAGAAGGCACAAATTCCCTTTAATTTAAGAGCTTCCCATAAGTAGCAAGTATTAGATAAGTGAGATGTCCGATAGTTATGGCAAAGAAATAAGTAATGTGGTTTCTCCGGTTTTTTTGCCCTTAGGAAACTTATTTGTTCTTTGTCAAGCGGTAAATACTCTACTAAGTTTAGAAGAATCTTCTGAACTTCTTCATTTGGTTCCTGTGGAACGTGTGAAGAATTTAGTATTGTGAGTAAATGTATCTTCCATTTGGCTTAGTAAGGAATAAAATAGAAAAGCCTCTGTTTTTGTGAAATCTTGTACATAATAAAAATCACTTTGATTTGTTTTATATCTGAGTTGTATTCACATTGTGAAATTTGACACTGAGTTAGATCCTCCAATTAAAATAGGGCATTTTTTGACAGTCTTTAAATACAGATTCATCTTTGTAAAGGGGATTTTGTGGTATAAGTCAGTAAAGTTTCAAGGGTTTATGATGCTGATCATTCCCACCTGTGACTGCACAGCACTGATCTTTTGTAACATCTTTAGACGTTCCAGCATACACGTCCCCAATAGCTTCATATTCTGCCTCAGCTTCATGGGGTCAGCATCCCAGGAAACTCCCCTGGGGTCTTTTCGCTGCATCCTGGAACAATCCAGGTTTATGTTTATTGGTTTGTTTTCTCAGTTCAGTTTAACCAGACCCTGATTTTGGTAGTAGCACGGGGCCTTTTTTAGGAAGCAACAATGCCTCATGTGCATGGCATTGCTGATGCCCATGAGGGACTTTTCCTGGTCGCCTTTCACATTTCCTTTGTCAGTGATGTTTTCTGTAGCTTGCATCATAGGCTAAACACTCTGGGGTGCCTGCTGCAGCTCGAATCTGATAACTGTCTCGTTACAGAACATTTCCTCTGGAGCCATCTGTGTTGCTGTTGGCTGATCTCTATTATCAGAGATTATCCTTATGTGGCTGCAAAGGACTGCTTTCCCAGGAAGCCCTCATGGAGTTATTTCCCAAGTTACAAACCAACATTTCAACGGGTGTATCCAAGGTATCTGAAGTGTCCTCAGTCTTTCTTGTTCCATTTCTATAGGCTGCCAATGGTTGTCAGATCTCTTTAGTCAGTAAATGCTGCTGTGGGACGATTTCTGTTTTAAAGCAGGGATTCCTGGACGTTGGCCTGCAGACTGATTGCAGAAGCAGGATTAATAGAAATGCACATTCTGGGTCTCCCCCCCTAAAGCGTCTGACTCAGTAGGGCTAGGGTGGGACTGAAAAATCTTCTAAAGTCTTCTGGGTGAAATTCCTGCACATTCAAGTGTGTGGAACGACCTGAATACTGTACATTACTCAGAAATAAAAATCACAAATGTTAATTGAATTGTAAACCTAATCAACTTCTTAGTACTGAGTTGCTGATAGTGTCTTACTTCAGAGAAACAGCATGGTGTTAGGGGCAACCTTCTCAGTCTAGACTGGGCATTAGTTTCTTTCTTTCTTTTTTTTTTTCTTAAACCTTTCTGTTTTATTTGTCTCTTTTTTATTGCCTTCCTTCATAGTGCATAGTTGGGCAGTAATTGTCCTGTGTACTGTTTGAATTAGGTGTTGGTTTATGATAAATACGAAATAAAGGATAGACTAGGCATGTATCACTTTGGTCAAATGGTAGATTTTTCTTAGTTCTGTAAAACATAGATCTCACTGATTGTGAGTCAGTTTCTTCTTATGGTTAAACTCTGGAGTTTGAAGCATACCTTTTACTTTCTCTAGATTCGGCTTTTGACAATAAGGATCTTAAACCATTTTGACATTCGACTTCCGGAATTGATGGAGGTATTTTAACTATTTGAGTGGATAATTCTTTAAAACATATAACTTTACATATTTTTAAATTTCCAAAATGGTACTTTTGCAGATAATTAATACACTATATAAATATCTATCATGAACATGGATTTTTTCCTTGTAATTCTTACTCTCACCTACCAAGAAGGCTGTCACTAAAAATCCGGTTACTTGGTGAATATCTTTTAAACGTTTTGAATACACACACATAATTTAAACAAATGGTCAGAGGGTTTTTCCATATCAGTATCTCTAGTTCTACCTCATTTCTTTTGAAGTTTAAATAGTACTTCATAATTTAAAATACCTTTTTTTTTTTTTTTGAGTCAGACTCTTACTCTATCACCAGGCTGAAGTGCAGTGGCATGGCCACGGCTCACCGTATTCTCAACCTTCTGAGCTCAGGTGATCCTTCTGCCTCCAGCCTCCCAAGTAGCTGGGACTACAAGCACACATCACCACACCTGGCTAATTTAAAAAAATGTTTTTTGTAGAGATGAGGTCTTGCTGTGTTGCCCAGGCTGTTCTCAAACTCCTGGGCTCAAGCGATCCTCCCACCTTGGCCTCCCAAATTGCTGGGATTATAGGCATGAGCCACCGCGCCTGGCTAAAATATCTTACTTAGCCAATGCCTTGTTGATGGATGGCCAGGTGGGTTTTTATGGTTTTTCAGTATTTCAAACAATAATGCAGTGAACATCCGTTCACAGATGCATTTGTATAGGGAAATAGTTCCATAACGCAAATTATTAGGAATAGACTTGTATAGTGGAAGTATATATACATTTTCTTTATTCAACATCTGGTACCAATCAACTTGAGGGATTTTTGAGAATTGCCTACTTTGCTTGTCATTTCTGCACAAGACCCTAAGCCTACTTATCTACCAAGAAGGAATTATTTACAAAGGAAAAGTGTTGCTAATTTAAAACATTAACATACTCCAGTTTTTCTCATTTTAGACCTTTGGTCACATTTAATGTTCCATTTGGAAAATCACAATGCTGACCTCCTTGTTGTTCTTGGCTGTTCAGGATGACAGGCTCTCAGAGCGGCAGTCTGCCTTTGCTATACTGCGCCAGGCAGAACTTGTTCCGGCAACTGTGAATGATTATAGGGAGAAGCTTCTTCATTTGAGAAAACTCAGACATGATGTGGTGCAGGCTGCGGTCCCTGATGGGCCTTTACAGGAGGTAAAGATGGAGGCTTTTGTTTTCTTTGCCATTTATGCTTTAAATCCTGTTTTGAGAAACATGCCAAATAATGACCAATAGTAATAATAATAATTATTATTAGAACAAGGTAAATCCTCAGTCTCTCAGATGTTTTCAGTTAATAGCTCTGCCCACCTTTTAAGTAGTAGAATTGACTTAGTATCCTCTGAGTATGTGAAGGTGTGAAGCAGTCATGAGCAGTCCTCAGTCTGTCTTATTGCTTTTTCTGGTGGAACGGTAAGTGGCAGCTTGAAAAGTATGTGTCATGCAGGTTCTTTCTGTTTCATTCTTTCCTTTTTTTTTGTTTTAGGTGGGAAAATATAGTTTATTTAGAAAGTAAACTAGAGAGAGATTTTCACCTCTCCAAGGTAGGAGAGGGGGCCAAACCTTAGGAAACACAGCGATGGCCATAGTTCAAAGAGCACATGGCCACACCAGAGTCTAGTAAGGCAATGGCGCATGGCTGCTGGGGGTTGAATCCTTTTAAGCCTTCCCTTTGATGGAGAAAGGTCATTATCATTCAGTTGCAGCACGTGAGCTTTAAAATCTAATTCTTCCCTTTTTAGCAGTTCTCTAACTTCATCAGCCTTAGACCATAATGAGTTGGGTACTTTTGCAAATGATCTCTTATCAAAAAAAATTTTTTTAAAACCAGTTTTATTCATGGAACAGTTCCAAAATACAGAGTCCATATTTAAAAACAGCAGCAACAACAACAATAAAAATTCTTTAGAGGGGAGAGCATGAATGAGGGTGGACTGGGGATAGGTTGTGAAAATGTTTTTTAAATAAGGAAGCAGAACCAGCTACTCCAGTGGGGGTGTCACCATGCAGCAGTTGAGTTCAAGTGGTCCAGGTTACCAGTGCTAAGGCCTGGCTCTGCCGGCCGCTGGCCTAGAGCTGCTCTGTATTTTCTGATTTGTAAAATGGGGAAAATAACAGTCTCTAACTTACTGGATTTCTCTGGGAATTATATGGGGTAAATATAAAATATTAGAACAGCACCTGGACCCTACGAAGTACTCACTTAATGTGGCTATTAAAATTATTGGAGTTTTATCCAAATTAATCTTTTACCAAGCATACATTGACCCAGTGCTGGTGATAGCCCCTATCTTCAGAGAGACTCAGCCTCAGGGACGAGGCGCTGGTGCGCTGCAGAGGAGCATGTTCTGTAGTAAATCATAAGAGAAGCAGAAGGAGTTCCAGAAGGGGTGATGTCTGGCAGCACCTTGAGAAGGGGACAACCCTCCCCTTGAGAAGAGGAGCATGTGTGCAAGTCGCGAGGGCTGAGCGCACAGTTGATGTAGGAAAACTTAAGCAGGTTGAGGTGGGTCGGGGCTCTGGGCCGGTGTGAGGCGCCATGGTAGTCCTGCTTGGGTCACAGGAGTTCCCTTCCCCGTCCTACTTCAGTTATTCTCCTGTCTTTGGTGTACAGAGGTGGCTGTTCTGCTGAGGGCTTGTCAGTAGACAATGGCCCTTTTCCCTTCGTGGGCTCACCGGATTGTCTGTTATTCTTGGAGGGACTTCAGTCTCGCGTTAATCATATAAGCAAGGTGCTTTGCCCCACGTAGTAGGTTTTCAGTGGAAATTTGCTCATAGGAAGAATGATAAGTGAATAATGAAGATTATTCTTTCTGATCCCTATTATTCTCCCAGTGACATACTTTTCTAATTTTCTTTATTAGACTGTTAAAATTACAAATGCTATATATGCTCTTACAACAAAATAACTCAGAAATACATAGGAAGGATTTTTTTGATAATGCTAGAAAGATAAGTGTTCGTTAAGTCCACTGAAAACGGGCTGGTTAAGAAAACATGGGCCTTTCGTACCAGTGTTCAAGTTATGGTGGTCCCAGTGGCCACCATTTAAAAAAAATTGACAGCAGCTAAGCTTTAAGATTCAGACTATGGCCATGAAATAACTAGCAATAAAAATAAATACTGTTTACTTTGCCTGTAAAATATATAAGGAAAAAATATGCTTAGAAGAATAAAATAGTTCTTAATCTTGCCCTTGCCATTCTGAGAAAGAACATGCTGCTGGCTTTCTGGTAGTCTGCCATTTGAGAAGCACACAGCATTTTAAAAACCAGGCATTGTTTCATTGGTCACAGGGGCTGTGGACAGCATGGGGGCTGGAAGAGAAGGTGACCTCGTGTTTTTCCCATCCTGCCGAACCACTGCCATATGGCGCGAAAATGCATTTTCCTTTCCAAGATAATCCAAAAACAAAGCCACACATTTTCTAACAAATCGCTGTGAAAAGTGAGTCTTAACCTCCTCACTGCTCTCTTGGTTTACATGTTTCAAGTTTCCATTGATTAAGAAGTTGTGAATTTTTTACTTTTAGTGAGCTCAAACAACCTCAATCTTTGCACAGACTGACAATATGACTGTTAATTATTTACTGAGTTATTCTTTTGTCCAAAGCAATGCAGGCTGACTATCAGTGCCTTTCCATTTTGCTGCCTTTTAAGAAAATCTTACATTTGTGTGGTTCTTTGTGGTTTCTAGAATGATATACCCTTTTTACAGATGCAGAACTTGGGGCTCAAGGATGTTAAAGGGACTTGTTCAAGACTATATGGTAGTGAATGTTTCAGAATTCAGACTTACGTTGTCTGACTGAGTCCAGTGCTTGAAATTGGCTGTAATTCTATGTCATTTCCTGGGATGGAAGATCAATTTACATATCAGTTATCAACTAATCACAGAGCTATTTCAGCTAGTGTGTCCTGCACATAAAGCAAGGATTAGGTGTTCTTTGTATACCTAAGGCAGATGGGAAGGCTGTTTGGAGCAGAGTGAGGTGGAAATGGTTTCTGAAGTAGCATGACTTGTTCCAGGATGCAGGTAGTGTTGTGTGGCTGAATGTGGGGTGTAGTGGTGAGATGCAGAGAGCCTAAGGACTTCCTGTGTGTGAACACATTCATCTTCACAGTGTGCTTAGGAGATACGTGGTGTTACTGTGTGCATCTTACAGAGGTGAAAACTGAGGCACAAGGAGGTTTAGTAGTTTGTGCAAGATCATGTAGCAAGTAGCTGGCAGAACTGGAATTCAAACCTAAGTGTTCTGGATCCACAACCCGTGCCTTAAACATGGGCAGTCCTCTGGATCCGTGGGTTCTGCATCCATAGATTCAATTCGGTGTTTCAGGGATTAAAAATATTCAAGGGAAGGAAGTGGATGGCTGTGTCTCTATTGAACATATACAGACTTTTTTTATTACCGTTATTCCCTAAACAATATAGTCTGACCAGGTGTAGTGGCTCTTGCCTGTAATCCCAGCACTTTCAGAAGCCAAGGCAGGAGGATTGCTTGAACCCAGGAGTTTGAGACCACCCTGGATAACATAGTGAGAACTTGTCTCTACAAAAAACAGACAAACAAACTAGCTAGGCGTAGTGGTGTGCACCTATATCCCAGCTATTAGGTAGGATGAGGTGGAAGGATTGCCTTAACCCAGAAGTTGGAGACTGGTGAGCTATAATTGTGCCACTGCACTGTTGCCTAGGTAACAGAGAGAGATCCTGACGTAAAAAAAACACGGCACGGTAACTATTTACATAGCATTTACATTGTATTAAACATTATAAGTAATCTAGAGATGATTTAAAATTTGTAGGTTATATACAAATACTGCATCTTTTTTCCCTTTTTTTTTTGAGACAGTGTCTTGCTCTGTTGTCCAAGTTGTAGTGCAGTGGTACCACCATAGCTTACTGTAGCCTTCAACTCCTGGGCTCAAGCGATACTTCCACCTCGGCCTTCTGGGTAGCTGGTACTACAGGCATGCACCACCACATCCGGCTAATTGTCTTTAGTTTTTGCAGAAACAGGGTCTTGCTATGTTGCCCAGACTGGTCACAAACTCCTGACCTCAAGCAAACCTCCCACCGTTGCCAACATCATTTTATATAAATGATTTGGGCATCCAAGGAATTTGAGGGGGGTCCTGGAACTGTGTGTATACTGAGGGACAGCTATACTCTGATACACTGTCTCAGTTTGTGACAGTACAAATAGTTTCCATTGCAAAATGTGAAAGCAAGAACTCATTTTAATTTAGGTGGTATTTACACAGTGCACGTGGTAGCCCTGGGAATAGTGACTTACTTTTGAATCACACTTCGTAATTTGCAGAGTGCTTTTACATCTATAATTGCATTTCATCCTCATCAGGTGGGAGTATTAGGACCTCTGCACAGGTGAGTCAGTGGGGCTCGCAGAACCTAAGTGATGTAGATGGTGGTAAGTTCAGCAGAAGGACTCAGTGTTAGGCCTAAAGCCTGGTCTTCTTCACCAGATTGACTTGCCGATGCAGGGCATCAGCCCTCTGTGTTTTGTGTTGGGTTTTCACTCTGTGCCCCTTGAAGGCACCTCATGGACCCCTTTGGGAGTGAAACCAAGTGGAGGGGTTCCCCTTTCCATCAGGGCACTTCTACTTGGACCTGTCTTGTGTAGTAGGGTCTGTGTGACGTTCACTTTGAAAAGAAGATTGCTGCTCGGACATATCCATTCAATAATAATAAAAGTACTCCTCTGTATGATGCCTCCCTAGCACTTGGGGATATTAGTGAGAGTGACTGTTATTACCAAAGGTGACTGAGAAAACTTTACACCCTCTGAATAGAACTCCTTTAAAGTATGGTTTTGGCCAGCACTTTGGGAAGTGAAAGTGAGAGGATTGCCTGAGATCAGGGGTTTGAGATCAGCTTGGGCAACTTGGCAAGACTTTGTGTCTACAATCAATCAAAAAATTAGCTGGGTGTGGTGGTGCGCACCTGTGGTTTCAGCTACTCGGGAGGCAGAGGCAGTACGATCGCCTGCCCAGCAGGTCGAGGCTGCGATGACCTTGAGCATGCCACTGCACTCCAGTCTGGGTGACAGAGTGAGACTGCAACTCAAAACTAAATAAAAATAAAAATTAAGTGCAGTTTTGAGAACTTCAACATCTGCTTGTGAAGCCACCTCCTTTGCAGCTGGCTTTCTGGGGTTCTTGGCATCTGTTCTGTCGCTGACGACTGTTCACATTTTGTCTTCTCAGGTGATGGCAGTGTTTGTTAGAAGGAAAATTTAATCATTAGTTGTATCTATTTATTCAAATATATCCTTATGTTGAACATCTGGAGTGAGGTGAACACTGTGTTTGGTGTAGTGATTCTTTGTTAAATAGCGAGTGACGTTTGGGGAGAGGTGGAAAATTGGCGTGCGCCGAACCTCAGATTGGTACCTGAAGCTTTTCTCTTAATGCACAAGCTCCTTTCCAGATCTCAGGTGGTGAGACTTGAGGTGTTTGTGGTGCTTCTGTTCTGTCTTTCCATCGAATTTCATACCCATTTTCTAAACTGGGCTCCTGTAATTGCAGGTGCCACTTCGTTATTTGTTGGGCATGTTATATATTAACTTCAGTGCTCTCTGGGATCCTGTGATTGAAATCATAAGGTAAGTGTGATATACTTTAACTGCTGTGGAACCATAGGGCTGGGATGATACTTTATAGGTATGAGTTAATGAATATGTGTTTACAGTATTTACAGTTACTGTAAATCCTCTGTGGGACAAGTTGAAGACAGAAATAAACATTAATAATTCTCTCTAATGGCACATCTTCAGCAGTTCCAATGTTATGTGTGTGTTTCTTTGTGCATTGAAATAACTTTGGAGGACTTTCTCTTTATATGATACTTTGGCATTATGGAAATTTTTTACAGTTGAATTTTGTTACAAGAAGAAGACATTATAACAATTGCAAAATTTTAGTTGTGTATGTATACCAAGCCATACTTTAATTTAAAAATAGGGACTTTTCAAAACTCTTACTCTGTAGTATCTAAAACCTCTTTAGCTCTAAAGTAGACCTTCATAATCGCATAGAAAATACATGTATTGTGCTCATATGTAGAAATCTGTTCTTTTAGACATTTGTCTTCACCTAGTTTATTCTCATTTTTCTTTTTTTTATTTTTGAGTTGGAATCTCTCTCCGTCACCCAGACTGGAGTGCAGTGGCCGCTCCCGGCCACCGCAGCCTCGACCTGCTGGGCTCCGGCGATCTTTCCGCCTCAGCCTTCCAAGTAGCCGGATCTATAGGCATGCACTACCACACCTGGCTAATTTTTTGATGTATTGTATAGATGAAGTCTCGCCCAGTTGCCCAGGCTGGTCTCGAACCCATGGGCTCAGGCAGTCCTCTCACTTCGGCCTTCCAAAGTGCTTGGATTACAGGTTTGAGCCACTGCACCCAACCAATACATAATTTTTAATAAATTTAGAGTTTTTGGGGGGTTCCTCTCGTAGTAGCCTACTATCAAAAGTGTTGGATCTTCAGTTCCTGAATGCCTCCTTATGGTTCTCTATAGTGGCTGGACTATCTTCCTATCAGGTACATTTTTCTGTTTAGAAGATGAAAACAGCAACAAATCTGTTGGTTTGTTTTCCACGTATAGGCCACAACATAGTTTGTGTCTTGTGTAAAGCTTATTCTTCATCTTAGAAAATTAATGACAGAAGGAATATAAAATATCCAAGAATGTTGTTGCTAGGATATCAAACTATGTAAGTACAAATATATGATTCATCTAATGTCTCCTCTCTTAGTTCTGAAAAGTATGTTTCATGTAGTTAAAGAATATTTCTTTTGCCTTTGTATTAATAAGTATATTTGGATTTGCATTAATAAGTATATTTTTAAGCTAGTTTTGGATAAACTGACTTTTCTCTCCAACCAGATGCCTCCTTCCCATAATGGGTCATGCTTATACCTTATGCCACAGTCCTATTAGTACGCCATTAGAAATAGTCTTTTTGTAAGAGTCGACTTACATTTTAAAAAATCCTCACTAGTGCTTTATGACTGGAAAAATAATTTGTGAGACTGGGCATGATGGCTCAAACCTATAATCCCAGCACTTTGCGGGGCCAAGGTGAGAGATTGACCTGAGCCCAAATGTTCAAGACCAGCCTGGGCAACTTGACAAGACTTTATCACTACAATAAATAAAAAAAATAGCTGGTGGTGCACACCTGTAGTTCCAGCTATTTGAAAGACTGAGGCAGAAGGGTCTCCTGAACCCAACAGGTCGAGGCTGCGTTGACCATGAGTGAGTCACTGCACTCCAGCCTGAGCGACAGAGTGAGACTCCAACTCAAAAAAAAAAGAAAAGAAAAATAATTGTTGCTCAGTGCAGGCATTTAGAAAAGTATAGAAAAGTGCAAAAGCTGCTTACGACCCTTTAGTTATATCTATTACTTTTTTTTTCTATGTGAGATCTTAAAATAAGGACCATACACACTTTTTGTTCTGTGATCTTTTCTCTTAGTTCTCATGCACATGAAATGGAAAATAAGCAGTTTTGGAAGGTCTACTATGAACATCTAGAAAAAGCAGCCACACATGCTGGTACGTAGAGGTGCAAGGGGATGGGGGAGAGAGGGAGCTTAACTGTTTAGTCTTTACTGCTTGGTTCCATGTGAGATTGGAAGACAGAAATGAGATGTGTGTTATTTTTGATAACCTTTGGGCATGGCTTATTGTTTGCTTATATTACAGGAGAAAGAAATCACCCCTCCTGAAAAAACTCAGATGAATGTTGACATTTCTCCAGAGGTCATGACTATTTATTTTCTTGCAGAGAAAGAACTGCAGAGTGATGCAAGAGACGAGGAGAAACACACTGGGGAGGGGAGTGGGGAACAAACCCCGAAGGGAAGAACTGGGGTGCTGTACCACGAGCAGTTGATGCTGAACACCGCCTGTCGGGAGAGACTGGACCATACCAACTTCCGATTCTTGCTGTGGCGAGCTCTGGCAAGGTTCCCAGAGAGAGTTGAACCACGGTCCAGGGACCTTTCCCCGCTTCTCTTGAGATTCATCAAGTAAGTGTCCCCTTCTGGGAATACATCCCAAGTAGGCATGAAAAGAAAAGGTGAGAAGTTCCAGCCTCCCAAACTGCTGAGTCCTTTATAAGTCTGTCATGTTTTCAGAGCTCTGGCAAAGCACTGACTCTATCAGGTAACAACTCGTTTAGTTTACCACCTAATTTTATAGGAATCAAAATTTAACCAGCCCTCAATTTGTGTTAGTAAACATTCCACGCTGCCATATAAGAAGGGCCACTTTGAGTTTGATAAGTGTACAAAGGCTTTATTATTTCTTCCTTGTTTTTCATTGTTGTAGTGCCTGCCTAGGGCTTGAAGGTCTTTTCCAGTGACCCAACCTTAACCAATTTTGAGCCTCTTGATGCTGGGAATAACAAGAGCTTTCTGCAGCAATGTTTGGTTTTGGCTGAATTTGCTGTGGGTCTGATTGCTTTATTTTTTATTTCATTTTTATTTTTTGAGTTGGGAGTCTCACTCTGTTGCCTGAGATGGAGTATAGTGGCATGATCACAGTTCACTGCAACCTCGACCTCTCGGGCTCAGACGATCCTTCCACCTCAGCCTCCCGAGTAGCAGGGACTACTGGTGTGCAACTCTCTGCCTGGCCAATTTTTAAAAAATATTTTGTAGAGATGAGGTCTCGGTACATTTCTTAGGCTGATCTTGAACTCCTGGGCTCAAGCAGTCCTCCCACCTCTGCCTGCCAAAGTGCTGGGATTATAGGCGTGAGTGTCACTGTGCCTTGCTCTGATTGTTTTAAAGCTCCAAGATTGAGGGGTGTGGTGTACAGAACAGACCTAAACCATCAATAAAAATGCTTTCCAGTAATATTTCGTTAAATGGGAAAATGCTAAAGGGTTAGGTTAGGTAGGCCTTAAACTACAACATGCCTAGCTTTTTCCAGGCACATGGAGGGGCTTTAGCAGAGTGATCCAGGGAGAACGGGCCGGAGATGAGGGCAGAGTTAGTCCTCAGGAGACCGACTGGTGTGGGTGGGAATAGGAAGGACTTGACTCTTACTTCAGTGAAACGAGAAGCTGTGGGAGGCTTAAGCAGAAGGATGACATGACCTCAGTGTTCTTATAGATTGTTCTAGCTACTGTGTGAAGAATAGACTGAAGCATGGCCATGGTGAAGACAGAGAGACTATTTAGGAGATTGCAAGTCCAGGCAAAAAAGAATGGTGACTTGACCAAGGTTGTAACAATGAAGATGAATTTTTTTTTTCAGGATTTCAATTTGATAAGATACATTTTTGAAGGACTCCAACTGGAACAGCCTGTGTGATTTACAGAGAGATCAGATATGGGATTGGGTTTGTGTGGCTGGGTGAGCGGTGGGAGGACAGAAAAGAGAAAAAAGGAAAAGGGGAGGGGTAAAATCAAGGACAGCACTTTGGGTTTTGTCTTGGGCAACTAGAAGAAAGCCACTGTTTTCTGAGGTCTGGAGGAATGTAGGAGTTGTGGGTTTGTGGGGAGAATTGAGTTCATTTTTAGATGTGTTAGCTTTGGGATACTGAATAGATGTGCAAGCAGTGATGCCATATGAGGTGTTGAATTTAGAAGTTTGAAGTTCAAGGGAAAGGTTTGATCTGGAGATGATAAATTTGAAATTACCGATATATGGATAATGTATCGGTAATTTCAAATTTAAATCATCAGACAGGGAATAAAGTCATCTAGGATATGAATATGTAGAGAGAAGACTTCCAAGAACCAGTACCAAGAGGTTGCAAGATAAATAACCAGCAGAAGAGGTCAGGGAAGAGTGATAAGCAAGAGAAGAGTGATAGAAGAACCAGAACTACCTGGTGTCCTGAAAGCTACATGAAGAGAGTATTTCGAGGAGGAGTAATCAGTTGACTCACACAGGTCTAAGAAGGCAATTCATAAGAAATAAGAATTGACCCTTGGCTTTGGAAGTAACCTGAATCAGAGTGGCCATATGCAGTTGACTTTTGTTTTGTTTTGTTGTTTTAGATATACAAAGGTCTGCTTTTGAGTGAGAGCATATGGTACTCTGTTCTGTTCTTTGTTTCTGTGATAGATCACTGAGTATGATCGACTCTAAAGCCATCAGAGTTGCTTTGTAGTCCATATGTTTGTCATTCTTTATGACTGCATCATATTCCATTGTGTATATGTGCTAAATTTTTTTTTTTTAATACAGTCCAGCTTCGATAGGCAGCATGGTTGGTTCCGTGTTTTTGCTATTGTGAATAGAGCTGCAACACACATATGTGTGCAGGTATCTTTTTTGTAGAATGATTTGAGTTCCTCTGGGTATATTCCCAATAGGAGAATTGCTGGGTCATATGGAAGGTCAGTTTCTAGTTCTTTCAGAAGTCGCCACACTATCTTCCACGCAGGTGACTTTAACAAGTGTTGTTTTGGTTAAGCTGGTAGAGATGACAGGCTGATTTAAATGAGGCAAAGAAAAATGGATACAGCAAGTTTGGACAGTTTTTGCAGTAAAAATGAAATTGAATAGTAGATGGAGGGACACTTGGGGAGCTTTTGTTGTTGGAATTCTTCAAGGCAACAGCATATGTCATGTCATGGTGCAGGTGACCCAGAAGGAAGGGGGAGATTGGTAATGCAGGAAGGAGGGTGCAGTGGCTGGAGTCCTCTTTGAACAAGCAAGAGGAAGCAACATCTGGTGCGTGAGTGACGAGCCTTGAGTGAATGATTCATTCTGGCAGAAGTTGTAAGCAAAGAGGTAGCAGGGGAGGAGATACCATAGCAGAAGAGTAATGACTTTCTCTTTTTCATATAATTCTTCGGACATAAGTTTATAAAATAAGAACAGTAATATTTAGCACTTTTTGCCTTGTTTTGAAGGTCATATACAATAATGTTAATCAGTTGTTTTCTGAATTGCAGAGGGTTCTCCATATGCCAGCTTGTATTAGTGGTGTTAGTAAGATGTGAACTTCCTACCATGTTAATTTCCCAAGTTTCTCCCTGAAGAATTAGTTTATTAGTTTACCCTGTAGCTTAAGGATAAAGATCTTACAAGATGCTGTGGGGCTAAGGACAGAAAAAAGAGCCTCAAACAGGGAGTTGGTCTCTGAGTTTAGGAAGACTTAGAGACTAAAGACACACAAGTTTAAAAAAAAATGCTTAATTTAAGATGAGTTGGCCCTCATTACCTGTAAAGAATACTTTTATAGATGATCCAAACTAATGGAAAGCCCAAATGTCACCTTTAAGTCTGACTTTAAAACGCTTTATGGGCTTTTAATTTTTATTTGTTGGCTAGCAATTTGCATTTCTAAATATTTGACATTAGCACTAATTTATGAATCCTTTATAAACGTTCTCTGAGAAAAACCGAATCAGGAGCAGGGATGAATGACTAACAGTGTCAACAGGTGACATTTAATGAGCGCCTGACTGAGTGCCGGGCACTCTTATAAATGCTTTGTGTGGGTTATTTCATTTACTGGATGAATGAGTGAGCGTGCTCTTCGTGGAGATAAAATAGCTAATATGTGATTAATGGAATATTGAGAGTATAATAGGGCTATTGCCACATGGACAGCGGTACAGTTGTAACTGACAGAGTACCTCTGCTCATTCATTCTTGCCTCCATTTTAATGTAAGTGCTAGGTTCTGCCAGATGAGAATACAAGGATGGCCATGGCTCGCCCTTGGGTTGTAACTTGATGCGTTAATCTGGAGGTTAGCCTGTGTCACCCTAGAGCTTCTTTTAGGAGGGTTGTAGGGTACTGTTCTCAAACGTTTATTTCATCAGTGTATTTTTGAGTGAGGACTTAAGCGTCCATTCAGTCGGTTTCCTGGCATCTCTAGGCCAGTGGTCTACATTCACTAGACAACAGAGATTAATTGTGTAGGTGAACAAAAGTGATACAAGTTAATGCACTGCACTGCAGACTTCAGGATATTGTTCATTAAATACAACAATAGACTAACATTAAAGGGGTGGCATTTAATAAGAACAAATATGAATTCTGTACCAACTACACAAGCTTAGTTTAGAGGAAATAAAATGTAAAGACTTGCTGATTTTCATTGTTTGGGCATTCAGTTTGAATCTGTCACATTGTGGCTGCTCCAAAAGTTATGGAGTTGATAGTTCCATCTCTCTTAGCAGGTCATGTCTGGAGGGCTGAGTTTTGTTGTGGCACTGTGTCTTTAAGAGGACACTGGTGAAGTAGCATGTCTCTGGTGGAAAGTGACCACCATGGTCCTAATGCTATACTTTAATCATTTGTTATAATCCATCCCTAACCCACCCTTCCCAACTGGTTCCAAAGACACAGAGACTGATTTACACCCAGTCCAAATTAGACATGTAAGATATTTTCAAATGTAACAATACAGTGGACTGCCTTCTACAGTTAGTGATTGACTTATCGACTGGGCACAGTGGCTCAAGCCTACAATCCCAGCACTTTGGAAAGCCAAAGAGGATTGCCTGAGTCCGTGGGTTCAAGACCAGCCTGGGCAACATGGTGAGACTGCCTCTTTACAATAAATCAAAAAATTTGCTGTACGTCTACCTATAGTTCAGGCTACTTGAAAGGCTGAGGCAGAAGGATCACCTGAGCCCAACAGGCCAGGGCTGTGATGGCCAGGAGCGTGCCACTGCACTCCAGCTTGGGTGACAGTGAGGCTCCAACTCTAAAAAAACAAAAGTGATTGACTTGTCAAAGAGGGTACTTAAGTGGCACCAAGTGAAAAAGAATAACATTGTAGAAAAAACTTCCTTAGGAGCCTCTGGTATCTCTTTAGTGAATGGTTCTCAACCTCTCAGGCTAGCACACACTCTTTGTTTGTCTTATGTCATTTTCTTCCCACTGTAGCAATGAGTATTACCCAGCAGATCTGCAGGTAGCTCCAACCCAGAATCTGCAGAGAAGAGGCAAAGGCGAGGTGGTGGAGGAAGTAGAAGAAGAGTCTGCCACTGGAGATGGTGAGGAGTTGGAGGAAGAGGTGGTGCCCCACGATGAACCCTCCCAGAAGAGAAAGACAAGAAGAGCTGCAGCCAAGTAAGTTCCCCCTGCTCAGATCAGATCCACGTTTCCTAGAGGAGCAGGGAGAGGAACAGGGAGAGATCTCATGCCCTACGTGTGAGTAGCCTCGTACAAGATGAACTACCTAGCTAATTAGTTTTTTCTTGTTTAGCAACAGAAGGTTAGATTCGGGGGACTTTTGGGATCACCTAATCATAGCTCCTTTTTATAGATGAGAAAATTGCTGATGTGCTTATTCCTAAGAGAAAAGATATCCCATTACGGGTGCCCCTAGGACACAAACATGTTACAGAAGTGAACAATAAAGGTAGCCGCTAAGGAAGGAGGCTAGGGCAGGAGGGTCACTGGAGGCCAGGAGTTCAAGACCAGCCTGGGCAACAGAGTAAGACCCTGTCTCTAAAACAATTTTTCTTTTTTAATTAAAAAAATAATAAAGTGAGGAAGAATACAGTCTATACTTTCCTGCCTGCTGCATACAACCAGACAAGAAATAATTCCCAAACTTACTTGAGTTCAACTTTGAAATATGTTGCTGTTTTGATTACTTTCTTTCTGGTTTTGATTAAATTCATCCTGAGCACATCCTGAATGATTTTCTGAGGTGGAGAGCCTGGATTGCAGGGAAAGGCCTGCCTGAGATTTGGGATTTCTGGAGAATAATTTCCTCAATGCAAATTAAAACTTGTTTGTACGATTAATAGTAAAACTACAGGTAGGGTATTTGGTTTCTTATCAAAAATAGTAAAATTATAGATAGTTCAAGAAATTAAAGACAGTATTCTTTAATTCTGTAACACTCTTGTTTTTGTTTAGGCAGTTAATTGCTCACTTGCAAGTCTTCTCTAAATTTTCAAATCCACGGGCCCTATATCTGGAATCCAAATTATATGAGTTATATCTTCAGGTAAGTAAAATAAACTCTTGACTCTGTAATTCTTTGTGAGCTTTTCTTCATCATTGTCTTTGTCAAAGTAACTCTTAGGTTTTTAGTAGATGTTTGTTGAATAGGGCTCATATCTACGTTTTAAGTACTAAAAATTTAAAAATTGGTAGATATATTTTCTATTATCTGTAGAAACAATTTTAGACAGCACTGGTTTGTTGATTTTACCAGCACTTTTGGTTAACTAAACATCGATCAGCTTTGTTAACAGTGAGGGTAGCAAAGCATTAATTATGTCATGCAAATTACCTTTAAAAGCAAGTGGAAGTTACACCCAAAATAGGTGACTACTTTTCCCTTCTAGTTAAGGGTTAGCTTTCATGGAAGATTATGGTTTCAGGATCTATTAGAATGGAATAATCTATTAGTTGGAATAGTAGTCTGTTGCAGTCACAATGTATGACCCTGAATTTTAGAAAAAGTTGCTGAAAAATTCAATGTCAGAAGTGGAATGGCTGGGCTCGGTGGCTCAGCCTGTAATCTCACGCTTTGGGAGGCCAAGGTGAGTGGATTGCCTGAGCCTGTGGGTTCGATACCCGCCTGGGCAACTTGGCGAGACTTCATCTCTACAATAAAATAAAAGAAAAAAAAAATTAGTCGGGCGTGGTAGCACGCTCCTGTAGTTCCAGCTACTTGGAAGGTTGAGGCAGAAGGATCGCTGGCGCCTAGCAGGTCGAGGCTGTGGTGGCCGGGAGTGGTCATTGCACTCCAGTCTGGGCAACAGAGTGAGACTCCAACTCAAAAAAAAAAAAAAAAGAAGTGGAATAAGCATTGAATATCATTCTCAGCTATCTGGGGAGATGAACTTTCTTTTTTTCATTTTGGTGTTTTTCTGAGCAAACTTTTATCATTTTAACAGAATTTATCCATGTCCTGTCTGTGGTAGACCTTGTTTATAAGCTAGAGCTCAAAAGTCTGTTGTCCACAGGAAGCAAAATTGGCAACTCACCAATCTGTGACACCTCAGAGCCAAGTCTTCTTTCCTGCATCTTCCTGACTGCCTTTATCTTCCCAGGATAAGAGATTTCCTCATTACATGACTAGCTCTGTTGACTTAAATCTAGATTCACATAGAGAATTGACCTCAGCCAAAATGCTGATAGACTTCAGGATTTGACAGTGGGATGCAGGTGTCAGTTTGTCACTCCCATGTTTTTCTTTGTTCATATTCTATTCATAGTCCTTTACTTCCAGTAAAATGGAAGAGTGTTTTCAGGAATCAATTTTAACTCATCAAAAACATAGAATTTAGGAAATCTAATTCTATCCTACAGTATAGGAATATATGATTTTATTAACTTATTCTGTAAAATATCATTCTTAGTTGTTGCTACACCAAGATCAGACAGTGCAAAAAATCAGCTTGGATTGCATCATGACGTATAAACATCCTCATATCCTTCCTTATAGGTAAGTTACTTGAAGTTTAATGAAATGTTATTTCTTTAGCTGGCTTTTGTCATTCTATATAAGAGTTCCTTCTAGAATAATTCCTTGAGGCATGGGAAGTTTCCCTGTTTTCTAAGGTAATCGGATTTCCACACAAGAAATGAAAACTGGAAGTATATTTGTTACGAGTTGTCCTCTGACTGGGTGCAGAGGCTCACACCTATAATCCTAACACTTGGGGAGACCATGGCGAGAGGATTGCTTGAGCTCAGGAGTTCAAAACCAGCCTAAGTAACATTATGAGAACTTGTCTACAAAAATATTAGCTGGGCATGGAGGCATACCCTATAGCCACAGCTACTGGGGGACTGAGGTGGAAGGATCGCCTGAGCCCAGGAGGTCAAGGCTGCTGTGAACCATGATTGTGCCACTACACTCAATCCTGGGTGACAGAGTGAAACTCAGACTCCAAAAAGAAAAAAAAGAGTTGTTCTCCATAGATAATAAAGCAAAAAAGAGAGCATTAATTTAAAAGTCTGTGTTGTGAAGGTTGTATCCTTTTTCTCTCCTTGCTAATATGATGCCACAGACTCTTGTTGGTTACTTAGGGAATCAAAATCACTCTTAAGAACTGAAGAAAACTTTTGTATTATTCTCTTTTAAACATCTGAATAAGCATCTAAATCTATTCCCTTCTAATCCATATTTCCTTTTGGAATTTGAAAGCCTGTCATTTTGAAAGATAATTGTAAGAATTTTCCTGTATGCATGTCAACCACAATATGAACTACATACCTTATGTTAGTTGTACTTATTGCTTTATATATATGTTTTTCTACTCTTGCATTTTTTAAAGTACTGTTGATAAAGTGATTATTTGTGCTGTTTTCTATTTTTAAAGGGAAAACTTACAAAGGTTACTTGACAATAGAAGCTTTAAGGAAGAGATAGTGCATTTTAACATTTCAGAAGATAACACTGTAGTGAAAACAACTCACCGAGCAGATCTGTTTCCTATTCTGATGAGGTATTTATACTATTTAAAAATTCTGTTTTAAAAAAAGTTAATTGGCTGGGTGCTATGACTCACGCTTATAATCCCAGCACTTTGGAAGGCTGAGGTGGGAGGATTGCTTGAATCCAGGAGTTCCAGACTGGCCTGGGCAGCATAGCAAGACCTCATCTCTACAAAAAAAAAAAATTACCTGGGCTTGCCTGTCTTCCCAGCTACTCAGGAGGCTGAGGTGGAAGGATCACCTGAGTCCAGGAAATCAAGACTGTGATGAGCCTGGATAGTGCCACTGCTCTCCAGCCTGGGTGGCAGATTGAAACTCTGACTAAAAAAAAAAAAAAAAAAAAGAAAGTAGCTTTTATTATTAAATTATTCAGAATTTTATCAGGAATAGATGTTGAACGCTGAATGTTATCAGATTGCCTATTGCACATGCGTAAACATGATATTAATAGATTTTACTAGAGGCTCTTTCTTACATTTCCTAAGTTGATTTTTGTTTTAATGCTGTACTAGATATCTACTGTGTTTAGAAAGGTTGTGTCAGCCGGGCTCGGTGGCTCAGCCTGTAATCCCGCGCCTTTGGGAGGCTGAGGTG